CGAGGCTAGGCTAGATGTTTTGAGTGTTGTGGACACAATGTTTATAAGACGGAGAAGGTTTAAAGTTATTCTTAAAGAACGTTAAGGTGTCTCAGACACGCGAGCCTCGAATGAGGCGATCATCAAGTGTGAATTGGGGATATACACAATATTAATGGGGGGGTGTACCGGGGTTACACGTGCCATCGTGAGAATGGGCGGGTCGCACAATCTTGTGCGACCGTACACACCTATGTGTATTACACTGTTAGTGTAATAACACAGTGGTGTGGCTAAACCGTAACAAGAAGCCACCACTTGGCAAAAATGATTAGAGTTTGCTAATTAATAAGGTATTACTATGTTAATTATCAAAATCTAGGGCTTTAGGTATTGGCAGTTCTGCCACAAATAGAACAATTAAATACAGTTTCACTTTTGAACAGAAGGGTATGTTTGCCTTGGTTAAGGCTTTAGTACTTAAGAGTAGCGGATTGCGATCCGCTACACTTGTACTGGTTCTTGGATAGAACATAAGGTCGGTGACCTTAGCTTTGCTTTCTTATAACATAGAGCTACGGCGGCTCCGCTGCATGAACCCATTCTCGCTTGCGCTAAGCTAGATGTAGTCATCATCCCAGCGATAACACAAATTCCTAGATAGATCGTGCTGATTAGCAGCATGGATGATTGCAAATTTTCGTATTCTCGGATTTGTCGAAGATATTATCTTACCTTTCAAAATTTGAACAGAATGATTGGAGCCAGATGGTCATGCTACAGGAGCGGTCTGACGCCCGAGCAAAGCACCTGGTGACAGGCTTATAAAGCTGCGCCGTGGATACCACTTCTGACGTTGATTTCCGCACGAGGCCATTGCTAGCAGCGCACATTAATCAGCCATTTGCCAGCTCAGAAAAATTAAGCGTATCATTCAAATTGTATTTCTGATGTATTTCATTACTCATCATTACATGCAGATTTCTTCCCGATAAATTTACACAATGGTAGTAAGAAAGCAGCACGACCTGGTCATGATTCGCTGTAACACAGCGCGATATACGTTGATATTGCAATACCTTACATTTTATCAAATAGCATCAAGGCGTGGCAAAAAAAGCGGCCTTCTCACGCTATGAAGAAAAGTCTTAATTCTACCCTTTCGGATCCGCATTGGCCAATTTTTGTCATCTGTAAGTGTTTGGCCTTTGTCGCAGACATTGTCTTGATCCAGATCATGTCGAAGAGCTCCTTGCCCTTATGTATGCTTTGTCATACTTATTGTATGTCTGCCTGGCTCTGGGACCGTACGGATCATGTGTTGTAGCGCACAGCGACACTTCATCACCACATATATCGGGTATAGCATCAAATAAGCATGGCATTAAGGTTGGGAATAAATCAAATGAGCTTCATTTGGTGATGGTTGCGGTTTTGTGTAGCCAATATTAGGTACAGTCACAATATGTAACGGCACCTTGGCTCATTAATGAGGTGATAAGTACAGCGCTCGAATCAGATGCAACATGTGCTGCGCAGCAAGCAATTTTATAACTTCATACCATTTTTTTGAAACTCATAAGATTCAAAGGATAGATCACTATACGAGATGCCTGATGCTTTCATAGGTTGCTGCCTTGACGAAGAAATGACTTACAACCCAGCTCGCGCAATGTAAAGGTGGCTTTCGAAGCGATGTATGTATGGGCCAACGCACTAGCATACAGAATTAAGAATGTCCGCTAGTATGAGCTTCATAGTAGGTTCAGAAGGCAAGTCCAGTAATATTGGCATCGTAGTCTTTGGGGATATTCAGGCAGAGTGATTCATCTTGTTGTTGTCGTATACGCCATTACAGTTGAGTATACAGCCAAGCAGTTTCTCGGCATTACCATGTCTACCTGCATATCTGGTAGCCATTTTTTTTAAGTCGAGATTTATTTTAGCAACTGAGTTTTGATGAACGCTGTTCTAAACGCTTGACGCCAGATCAGACGTACTAATTGCTGGCCAACCTCAGACACGTGGTCAGATGAAACGCACCAAATGCGCTACTAGAGCACTCATGTGAAAAGACCGGATAAACGAGGCAGAATGCCCTTACTCATTAATTTTTGCAATAACCCAGTGTATGAGCTGTAGGCGCCGGGTGCATGTCGCTATGGCTGAAAGCAGGGTGTGCTGAAGCAGCATGCAGATGTCGTAGGTAGACAAAATGACAATAAACTCGAAGTAGGTAAATTTTGTTTATACAACGCTTTAGTATACCGTCAATGCAGTGTAAACAGGCTATTCAACCAAGACAAGACCTCTCTACAGTGTAACATTTAAGAAAGGTTTCTATAGTTCCAATATACGGCTTATTATTCCAGCTTGTAGCCTTTATGCTCTGGAACAGCGATTCGGGCTGAAGCGCATATGGCGTTAAAGCAGATTCGTACGATTGCGCAGCCCATGCAGCGCAAGCAAACATGTCTCGGTCATTTTCAGCTGCATATCAAACCTTTACGAGAACGCGAAGTCCTACAATACCCGCCAGAGTTCACAAGAGCCAGTTATGATAAAACCGCTTTCCACTGGATCTATTGAATAAGCAAGAGGCGACCCACAACGATGTGAAACGATCAGGGATCGGCGGGTCTGAATTGCATCTTGTGTAAAAAATAACCTTGTGAATTTGCAGAAACCTAGGTTTAATTCAGTATATTTCCCTGAGGCTATCGCTGATCTGATTTTGCACATCCTCTCACCGAGGAAGCATTGACTATAAAAACCACATGTTAGCTAAAGCACGAATATGGGTCCATCGCTTCTTCTCGAGGCGCCATAAAATAGCCTTTTGAACTCTGCTTGAATTATTGTTCAGTATGGAGATTTTCTCTAGGCAGGAAATTAGACTGAACATGTTTCAGCAACAATCTATATTAACCGGTGACATGCAATAAATGGCAAACCTCTCTCCGACGAAGTACTGTTCCTCTCGACGGCACAGAGTAGAGCAAATGATAACAAGCTATACTAGTACTCAAAAGCCTCTTTCAGCTCCGATCAACAACTTCATCTAGCTCTCGCCCACTCTCCAAGCGATATTTTCGCTGGGGTCACAAATATTCTCATCCCAAGCCACCAGATTGCGTATTGGTAAAAGAATTTACTATTCTGGTGTAAAAGGCATGCTCACAAACAGTCCCTTAATCAGAACACGCACGCTTGTGCGACGAGGAAGTGATTCCCGACGTGGAGGGAGAAGGACAGTGGGAAGTAGAACAACTTACGACCTTAAAGGGAAATTTACAACCGGACAAATGGTTTTTAGCTACATGCAAACACCCCAAGGGCCTTTAGAAGGTTTAGATAGTACAGTCTTGAGTTCCTGATTTATGAATCAAACGAGTACTGCGATTGAAGCTAAGCTTCAGCTTATACAATATCTATGGTGTAGGGAGAGTGAGCTACAAATATCTTTTAACTTCAGCTTTCGTGGGGAGTATCCAGTGGAAGTGACTGTCCAAAGCCACCCAAGTCGAAAGACAGAGACACATCGGTCTCGTCACCAGCACGAATGCCCAAGTAGAAACCAGCATTCTGTATCACAAAAAACGTAGTGACTTCATATAAGATGTCACGTATGCATTTTGAGACACCATACTGTAATATTTCATTATTTATCAATTCCCACGATGCATACGAAAGTTACATAGATGTGCCTTCATGTAGTAGCCAAATGTAACCCATTACGTCTAGTAAGATTAGTATATGATTTGTTACATCACACCTCAGTGTGAGCACAAAGAGCCACAATCGCTTGGAGCCTCGCATCTAACGTAATATTTTTCACACATGATGTTTGTCGTTTAATTGTTTTACTAAGCGCGAAAACGTCCGTCGCCATCTGCACTTTGCCGAGCATCCCTCCGAGGTTGCCTACCGCTGTACGGAAGACCGCGAGAGACTGGAGTAGTTTGTGCACCGAATGCCTCGCGTTGTGAATTATCGTGCTGTGTTGGAGCGGCTTCTAGCCGTCGAGCAGGCGATTGCGGTATTTCGTGTGACGGTGGAGTGCCTTGCACCGTTGGAAACGGAAGTTGTTGCACTCCGTGCTCAGAACCAGATGCTGGTTCAACTTCTACGTGGCCAAGACGCTTAGGGCGCCGCCCCCGCGTCAACGCTTCCGCGTTCACGCCGGATTTCGGTACGGCTTAAGCAAGCCCAAATAAAACACCGTGTGGGTGTGCATCCAGGTTCAGCGTGCACGCCAGGCCTCGCTTTGCCACAACCTTAAGAGGTCCAATAAACCGTGGATGAATATCTTTTGAAAACAGCAGAAGCTGCATGGGTAGGGGGGTTTTAGAAAACACGTCTCCGACCTTAAAGCTTTCCGTTTTGCCTCTTCCTTTTTCATCTGCATATTCTTTCTGCAGGTCTTGGCTTTCAGCCATCGCATTGCGTACGTGCCGTAGGACACTTAATCTAGTAGACAAGAAGTCATCGACTTCTTTACGGATAGTGAGAGGGCTAACATCAGCTAGCCGTTCGGCTATTCCTCCTCACCAAGCCCTGAGCCATGATGGCGGCGTCATCCGGACGCGAGGATTAACAAATCCGTTCACGAAGAACGGCGTGTAGCCGGTAGATGAATGCACCGCATCGTTCGGAGCAAACTC